CATTCTCCTCTCGGGATCATGGGCACGCACGCACACGCGCCCAGCGTGAGTTTTAAGCCACAGGGTCCAGGACGCGAACCGCGGTCGGCTACATGGGAGTCCAGCGACATAGCCATGACGCTAACTGCTGGTCCCCTCTTTTCTTTTCTTTTAAGAATCATTTTATTTAACTTTACTTATTTATTTCAAATGGACCAGAGAGGGACAGACCGAGAGAGAGGGAAAGTGAGAAAGCCACCAGGTCCGGGACTCAAACCGTGGCCAGCCAAGTGGGAGTCCAGCCGCCTTCACCAGCACGCCCTCTGCCGGCCCCTCCTATGTGTGTTTTTTGAGATTTTCGCTATAGGGCGCGTGCACTCACCAGACAGACAGAGAGAGACATAGAACAGAAAGCGAGAAATCACCCCCCAGGGAGGGATGGTCACGCCGCAATCCCTTCTCCATTCTCCTCTCGGGATCTTGGACATGCACGCACACGCGCCCGATGTGAGTTTTAAGCCACCGGGTCTGGAACGTGAACCGTGGTCGACTACATGGGAGCCCAGCGACATAGCCATTACGCTAACTGCTGGTTCCCATGCTGGCCCCTCGTATGGAGACCGAATTCCAAGAGTGTGGGGAGGGAGGAGCCGCGGCCTCTCCCCGCAGACACTCACGGGGCTCTTTTTCTGCGGGGCGGAAAACGACTTGGGCTTGGGTTTCTTGGCTGCTCCTTTGTCCAACTGCGGCGTCTTCCTGAGCGCGCTTTTCTCTAAGATGAGAGAGTGCGTTTTAGTCGCAAAAAGTGCGGGCCTTGGCAGCCCGCTGAGCCCCGCTGAGCCCCGCTGCAACCCCCAGCTCGGGAGGGAAGGGATGAAAATAAAAAAAGCCACCACTTACCGTTAATGGCAGAGAGATCCAGGTCGGGCGGGGCGGCGCCGTGTCCTTCCAGAAGGGTGGACTGCAGCAGGCTCTTCCCCATCCCGCTGCTGTCGGCTGTGGGGGGGGGGGCCCTCCAGTCAGCGCTACTGTCAGGGGGAGGTGCGACACGGACGCTTTCTGTACAAGACCGCTTGCTTCTTTTACTTAGTACTTTTTTAAAAATTAATTTATTTAACTTTATTTATTTTTTAAATTTTATTCATTAATTCTTTTTTTTTGGGGGGGTGGGAGAGGTTTTTGCTATAGAGCGCGCGTGCTGGCCAGAAAGACAGAGAGAGACAGAGACGGAAAGCGAGGCCACCGGGTCCGGGACTCGAACTGTGGTCCACTACATGGGAGTCCAGAGACATAGCCATTACGCCCCAAGCCTGCCCTTCCATACAAACTCTTTGCCCAGTTCTTTCTTCTGACCCTGCCAGGAGAGGGAAGCAGTGCCTTCTTGAACTGGGCATACTCAGAAACAAGACTCGTCCGTTGGGACCAGCAGTTAGCGTAATGGCTATGTTGCTGGACTCCCATGTAGTTGACCGCAGTTCGAGTCCCGGACCCGGTGGCTTAAACTCACGCCGGGCGTGTGTGCGTGCGTGCCCAAGATCCCGAGAGGAG